CTTCCTTTTACAAAGTCTCTCTCTCTCTCTCTCTCTCTTTCTCTCTCTCTCGCTCCCTCCCTCTCCCTCTGTCTCTCTCTCACATAAACACATATAAACACACATGCACACCACCTACCATTTGAGACAGATTTCTTCCTTCATTTGAAAGCCTTGCCCAGCAGGTCCGAATACCCTGATGAAGCAAATGCATCACCTCACCAAGAAATATTATCTCATTTTTTGTGGTACAAAATGTCTCACCGAGACAAAGTACTGCTGCCACAGACACCTTGTGATATTTTAATCAAAGAGTATTAATGTGACATGCATTAATGCTTTTGAACAATTCAAACATATTTGTGCAAAACACTCACCAAACACGGTTCTTGCTGGAACGGATTCTCTGTTCAGCCAGAAAGATACTTGGGATAGAATTACTGTCATTATGCAGGGCAAGTATGTTTGAATGACAAAGTACCCAATTTTTCTCTTCAAATGGAAATGGGTGGTCATCACAACATATTCCCCTGTATGCAAAAGGAAAAAAAAGTGACATTTCTTAGGATATAAATAAGGAAGAAGGGAGGAAGAACTCCTTGGAAGTTTCCATCAGAAACACAGAAATTCAGAAATTAATGTATCTTTGTTACATTAAATTATTCTTATTTATTTCCACAAGCACTGACCTAGATCATCAAGAATGAATCCACATTCTAGTCTTTTAGAAGGAAGCAGTTAGTATTCTGCAAAAATAGAAACAGTCCCTCCCTCCCTCAATATCCCAACAACTCCTTACCTTTGATTCTAAAATATTCTTAGGTGCAGACATAACAGCCACTTGTGGCAAGATGGGTGGTAAATATATTTAATAAATAAAAATAATAGTCGTTAAATAAATATTTTCCCTCAGTTCAATGGATTTTGCTATTTATCCAGGATTTTCTCTCCTTTCTACTGCATGTGATTTATTTGACTTCCATAGTACAGTTTGTTACTCACTGCATTTGCCAGTTAGGACATTTAGAGGTAAAGAATACTTCCCCAATCATCTGTTCTTTTTTTTTTCCAGTCCATATCATGGCTTCCTTGTCTACTTGCTAGTTATCTGGATGAACACAGCTCATCTTCCTTGCAGCAGTAGGGATGGTAAATCTCTTGTGAATTAAAGGAACTACTTGGCCCTTGAATGACATGTTGAGAACTGCACTATGAAAATATGTGGGTGAAAGTCAACACTTGGATTTCATATCATTTGCAGCTAATTAAGGAGTTATGTGTTCACATGATTATTCTCCTTTCACTTAAAACGTCAATCTGGTAACTATTTTGGGGGGTACCTGAAGATTCAATCAAAGTTCCTGTTGTTATATGTAGGTCTGAAAGCCATACATGTGATATGATGGCCTGTAACATAAAAATAAGATTCTCTTTTGATACCCAGAAAGAATGCAAAACTTAAGATCATGGTTTTTTTATGATCACTAGGCTTATACAACATTTAGGAGGATATTGTACTAAGCCATCACATGGTTTAGCAGCTTGAAGTGTGGAAGCATCATTCCTGGGCATGCATATTGATGTTGCATTTCTTCAGTATCAGTCCAAATGACTTTTTTTTATCAAGAAAAGGCCATAAAATAGTTGGGATGACCTATAAAACAGACTATGACTTTTTGATGCTTCAAGCAATGGCTTTAAAGGATTAGCTTGCTTTCTTTGTAGAGCTCCTCTTTGAATGGTTTTGTGCAGCCCTAATGATGATCAGGCTAGCTAATCATTTAGTTTCATAATTGAATGCTTACAGAGCTTGGCATAGAACATTTTGCAGGAAGGATGAATGGACTGACTTCATTTAATGAGAAGCAATTAATCTACAGCTACTTTTGATCCCATTCTCTTTCTCCTCACTGTGCCACTTTTAGATTTCTTGTTTTTGTTTGTTTGTTTTGTAAATCAAGGAAAAGTGTTCAGTCAAACATTAGTGGTGGCTGTTCACTATTTAATGGCTATTGTGAAATGAGTGTTTTCAAGAAATTAAACAAGCAGCTCATTTTTATTTTTACCTTCTATCACTATTAGTTTAAAATTTAATATCTTGAAAATCAAATTCCTTAGGGTACTAGTAATATGGCATTACATTCAGCACTGACAAAACAGATGCAAAACAAAACAAATGTTAGCTAAAAAACAAGTGAGAAGGTTGAAATCAAATAAAGAGTCTGCTTCCAAAATTAGAACTGACATATGAAATAGTCCTGGGGATTCGAAAAATCTAATTTCAATCCGGTTCTATTCAAGATCAGGCACTGGTGTCTAGCATAAACATGAAGAATGATGTCATCATCATTCTTTTGATGCTGACAGAGATGATGATTGTTTAGTCTATCCTTCTTTGGGAACATTGCAAGGAATATGACGGTCTTCTCTCTTTTTATGCCCATAGTCATAGTCTTGTGAAGTAGACCACGTTGACATGTATACATTGCTCAAAGTCATCTGGTGAACTCTATTTTGAGGAAATGGATCTCCCTCAGCCCAGTCCAAAAAAATTAATTATTTCAGTGTTGGGCTATTGCAAATACACTACTGGAACTTTAAGTTTTGTTTGATATTTGCTGGTTTGGAAAGTTATCATTTGCTAACATTTGCTTATAACACTTGAGCATAATCCTAAAGAGGAGTCAATGGTACTCTCTGAACTTGATTATTTGCTTGTAAACCTTTTGTTACCGAGCTGGGCCCATAACATCATCATTTCCATAATCCTAATCTCATTCCAATTTCCCATCCATACATTTTTGTCAACTCATGGAAGCAGTCTTGGCTAAGAGCATTCTGAAATAGACACTTCAAGGTCTTCAGATAAGTGAACTACAAACAAGTTCCTATATCCTGCCTTAGGAACCATTACTTCTAAATTCATACAACAGAGCCATTTTATCATGATTTCAAAAAACTGTACTGACAATCTCCCATTACAAAATAGGTCTCACCAGCAAAATGGGAAAATCTAAATAAATGTATTCCTGCTCAGCTTTCATTCATTTCAGTGATATTTGATGGGTAGTGTTTGGTCCAGCTTTCACTGCAGAGTGCAGCAAATCCTGTTAAGTGTTCTAATTTTCATTTTTTACAAGTTTTGAGAAATTTTATTCAGATTGTCCTTTTTAGAATTTCATTTTCACTATATAATATTTGTTAGCTGATGATAAAACATCAACTACCCAAGTATTTAAGTAATTTTCATTAAATTTGGAGGTTAATTCTACAAATTGCTTCAGTTCAACAATATATGAGAAAACCATAAATAATACAATTATAGTACACAAACTATTGCATTTTTGTTTGTATTTCATTCACAAAATCATTAAATTGTAACCCTAATATCTATAAAGTATTGGAAGCCTTTCAGACAGCCATATTCTACAAACCAACTAAACTAGAGCTAAGGTATCGATTCAGAATCTTAGATTTTCTGAAACCTACTGCACTACCTTAAATTTCAATTATGTGTCAGTGTCTTCCTTTTACCCATTTTTCTTTCCTGTTTTATAACTTAATTTCATTTTTCTTTATTTTGTACTATTATTACCACTACTATCACTGCTACAATTCAACACCATAATTATGTTTTAAATGTAATTATTGAAATTGTTCCTTTTCTAATCACAGTGCTTCTAGAGGTTTTACTGAATACTTTCTGTTACTAATCAGTGCCAACTTAATGCAGAACTTGTCATTAACCATAAATAATCATGATTATTTATTGTATTTTATGATTATTGTATTTTAGGCTATGATGTTAATTTTGTTTGATATCTTTGCAATTCTTCCCACCCACCGTACCATGCCAATGCCTTAAAAGCCTACATATATTTGTGTACCTTCAAAGGACTAAGACATGTACTTTGAGAAGGTTATGGTTTTTTGGAGGGAGGGGGCATTGATTAAGTTTATATTGCTGATTATTCGGTCTGAGCAACATCTTGCCTATTACAACAGTCCCACTGTGTTTTTCTTTTCAGACTCTTCCTTTTTATGTTATGAGAAAATAAACTAATTGATTGCTTTGAAAAATCCAGTGTCTGTGTAGCTATAAGCAACATGTGTTGAGCTTTTTTGTTCATGGAGGATATCAAGCTGAGCAAAGTGTAATGAACCTGGAGGAAAGGTGGAAGATTCTTACGGTTTCTTTGCTGGGTTTAATGAGATCTGAACTTGGCAAGAACATTATTTGAGTACAGCCAATTGTTTGTTTTGTTTTTCAGGGGCACTGAAAACCTAAGATACATTTAAATACAATATGTTCTGTGCGACATACACAATTTTTAGAATACAGATATTTAAAGAGCAAATTATGAATTGTTTGCTTTAAAAAAGAAAAAAAGATGGGCCTTTTAAAATATGCCATACTCATCTAGGACATTATATTTTTGAAATAAAACTGTGCTGTGGTGCAAGAAATGGACATGTAGCAGCACTGGGGTTTTTACCCACCTGTGCTGGATTGCACAATTCCAGAATCCACTGTTTGTCCCATGAGATCGTATTGATTCAGCCGAGAGCCATCTTCAGCAACAACAACAGAACGTGCAGGTTCACGGGTCCATTCATACATTACCTCAGATTTCGTGTAAGCATCTAGTTGGTTAAAAAAAAACAAATTTCCAAAGTTTCTTTAATATCCCTGGCCATGTCAATTTGGACAAATGCTTCCCTCCCCTCGCCCATTGTTGCTGTTTAAAATATCCTTTTGAACTCTATTTCTTATATGCAATTCAGAATGTCAGAAAACAATTGAGATAGCATACAGATTGAAAGTCAATCAATCTTGGAAGTAAATCCTATATTTTCTGTATGCAACAATAAAGTCATTAAAATATGCTTTCTATAATAAGATAAGCAGAATTGAGGGATCACAGTGTCCTCCTCAAATTTCTTCGTGTCCACGTTAAATACTGTATTATGTTTACCCATGTAGCTATCTACAAAAAGCTGCAGTAATTGGAATGTATCATAGCTATAAGTCAAGGCCCTGTTCTAACTGGTCAATGGCCTACAAAAAGGGAAAAGCTGGGAAATAATTATCAAAGTCAACTTACAGCTTCCAAATTTCAATGGGCAAGCATGTGCATCCATGGGAAAGTCTTCTAAATGCATTGGGCATTCTGCTCTCACTGTAAGTCTGTAAACAGGCCAAAAGCATTAGAACAGATTTAGAATATAACATGGCTTTGATGGAAATGGTAATAGAAGGTGTCTATTTTACTGCATTTGGTTAACAAACTGTGTCAAATGATTATATGCAGCAAGGTTAACTGGAAAATCTGGTTCACTTGGTTTAAAAGACCATTTGTTTGTTCTATACAACAATTCACTAAAAGAAACTACTTTTTGCCCTAAATAACAAGCAGTTATTCCAGTATCCATATCAACTCCCATTTATGAAAACAGGTAATTGCAATGTGTAATTCAAAAGTGTTTCTCTGTGATGCATAATATGCTAAGATAGATTTATGCCAGGGTTGTTATATGCCTCCCCAATTGTCCCATTTTTTTCACCATTTGAGCACAAAGAATACATTTTTATTGTGTGATTATATTAACCTTCTCAAACCAAACTTTATCTAATTTCTGAGTGTCACCATTACACAAGATATTCATTTATTTTATTCCCCAGTAGGGACTTTGTTTGATATTGGCCAAGAAGGCTGGAAATGTCCCCGATCCTTGTCAAATCCAATGTGTATTTTACTTGATTATAAAAGGAGCACAAAATAAATCATTTCCTTCCTTGAAATCAATATGGTGAAATGAAGTCCTACTTTCTATTTGAAAATAATAGGTTGATAATATTATATATTATATAATTGTTTACATTACACAAACTACCACTCTATAAAATCGGATTGTAATATCCAAATTTCTTAAAATAAAATATGATGTTGCTGCTTCTATCGTAATGAATGTAGTAAGCTCAAGAGAAAATGAAAAGACAAGTACAAATTAGAAGAAAAATTGCTTAAAACAGCTACATTCTATTGATTCCTTTAAAGAGGTTCGTATTTTACTATCTAGGGCAAATTGTGGAAAAATGTATAAATCATTAAAGCAAAAGAACATTTATAAACAAAAAAACATTTATCTTGGAAAGTATGTAGGATTTTTTTTTCATAAATAAAATACCACATCCCTGTTTCTTACCTCATTGTGTAAAGCAGTGTCCCATCTTCTGTAATCCGCAAAAGTTTGTTAGGCATAGTCATGTTGTGAGCGACTGATTTCTTTCCATTGTGGAAAAATGTATCTGGTGTCCATATTTTGCTAGCCATTAAATTATTCAGTCGGAGTACTTGCATTGGTCCTTTGAACTTCAGCCTTTCATCTTTCCAGCTTTGTCGGAAAAATACATCTATTGTATATTCCTAAAATTAGAGAATCATGAGCTTTGAACATACTTCATTTATGAATAGCCCCATTGAAGAGCACAAGGCTTTCTGAACAATAGTGAGCTTTAAGAGGTTCATACTGTACATCTGTGTTTTGTCATTTGTCAAAGTCATAAAACAGATGAACAGAAGTATGAATAAGGGTAACCCTTTCTTCTGGGAAAAATGGATTCCTAAAACCTCCAACAAATTTTGGTTAGCACAATTATGTCTTCTACTTTACAATAAAATGATATTTTTTTATATCAACAGCTTGCAAAACCAATTCTATTTTAAGATAGAATTTTTAAGCTCTAGGTTACAACTCCAGGGAATCACAAGCAAATTTGAGGGAGATTCAACTTTAAACAGGGCTTCTTCATTTAGAACAAACAAGAAATTTAAAAGAGTTATTCAGTTAGAAGAAATAGACACCAAAAAAAGCAGAATTTTATAGTCTCCACCTTTGCACAGAGAGCATAGTCTGGAACAAATTCTGGTAGGGCTTCCACATTTAACATGTTCCCAGTCTACCTTTCAGACAAATGGTTATCCAATCTCTTCCTAAAAATGTCCTGTGTTGGAGTATTCACAATTTTTGGAAGCAAGTTGTTCCACTGATTAATTGTTCTAATGGTCATGAAATTTCTCCTTAGTTCTAAGTCGCTTCTCCTTGATTAATTTCCACCCATTGCTTCTTGTTCTGCCCTCAAGTGCTTTAGAGAATAGTTTGGCTCCTCCTTCTTTTTTGTGGCAACCCCTGAGTTATTGGAACATTGCTATCATGTCAACCCTGGTCCTTCTTTTCATTAAACTAGACATACCCAACTGTTCATTATATGTTTTAACCTCCAGTCCCCTAGTCATCTTTGTTGGTCTTCTCTGCACTCTTTCTAGAGTCTCAATATCTTTTTTCCATCATGGCAACCAAAACTGGATGCAGTATTCCAAGTATGGTCTTTCAAAAGCATTATTGAGTGGTATTAACACTTCACTTGATCTTGATTCTGTCCCTCTGTTTATGTAGCCTAGAACTGTGTTGCCCTTTTTTTGGCAGCTGCAGCACACTATTGTCCACTGTAATTTTCTGTGAGATCTCTCTCACAGTTACTACTATTGAGCCAGATACCATCTATACTATACCTATGCATTTGGTTTTTCTTGACTAGATATAGAACCTTACTTTTTTTACCATTGAATTTCATTTAGTTAGATAGAGCCCAATGTTCAAGTCTGTCAAGATCCCTTTTATCTTAAGCCTATCTTCTGGAGTGTTGGCCATTCCTGACAGCTCCCCATTAAATTTGTTGTGCTCCCCATCTACCCCCTCAGCCAAAACAGTGATAAAAATGTTGAAGAGTACTGAGCCTAAAATATACCCCACTGCATACTTCCTTCCGTGTAGATACAGTTCCATTGAGGACTACATGTTGAGTGTAGTTGGTCAGACAGTTGGTGGTGATGCTGTCTAGCCTATATATTTCTATCTTATCAAATAGTAGGTTGTGGTCTACTATATCAAATGCTTTATTGAAGTCCAAGTAAATTATATCCACAGCATTCTTCTGGTCAATTAATGTTGTCACTTTGTCAAAGAATGCAATACGTTTTGTTTGGCATGATCAGTTTTTGACAAACCCATGTTGGCTTTTGGTTATGGCTTTGTTTGCCTCTAGGTGTTCACTGATTTGTTGCTTGGATATCTTTTCCAGAATCTTCCCAGATATTGAGGTGAGGCTGATAGGTCTGTAGTTTCTTGGATGTATTTTTTTCCTTTTTTGAAAATGGAATCAGCTCTTTTCCAGTCCTCTGGCAGTTCCCCAGAGCTCCAGGATCTTTGAAAGATATAGTTCAGTGGTTCTGAGATCACATCTGCCAGTTCATTTGGTACCTTGGGGTGTAATTCATCTGGTCCTGCTGATTTGAACTCATCTAAGGTGGACAGGTGCTCACTTACCATTTTCTTGTCTATTTTAACTTGAATTCCTAATCTGTTTTTTACGGTACTGTTTTTGATAGGTTGGACTGTTTTTTTTTCCTTTTGTGTAAAAACAGATGAAAAAAAAGAGTTAAGCAGTTCTACTTTCTCTTTATTGTTTGACACCTTCTTGCCACTTTCATCCATTAATGAACCATTTTCTTATTTTTTCTCTTTTTACATGTTGAAGATTTCCTTTGACTTATTTTTGATTTTTGTCTCGAGCCTTAGTTTGACAAGCCAGCTTGTCCAAGCCAAATAAAAGTAAGTCCTGAAGCACAGCCTGATGGCTTACATATGCAAAGCTGGATCACTGGCTGAACATGTCCCTGTGGTGCTCAGGCAGCTGGCAACAAATTCAGGATTTTTTTGAAATTGTCGCTATAAAGAACCAGCAGAAATTCTAAATGACCAAGGGACACCGTCTCCAATCTAAAACTCGCATTTCAGAACTAGTGCAAAACTAAGCAAGCTCATCCTATTAAATATAATTTTAAACTTGAAGTTTATTTTTCATTTCCAGTTAAAAGGTTTGATTTTGTAAATTTTTAGAGTTCAGTCATTGTTTTATTTGATATATAGAGTAAAATTTAATTATTATAAATAAACAGCATGTTTTCCCCGGCTATTCCTTGCTTCTATTGGGGAGAAAAAAAATGGAAGAGAACGCAGACATAGACAAGCATAAAACAGCATGGAAATTGTTGATACGTTTTTGTATAAACACAACTAAACCCAGGTGGGGAAACAATGGCTAGAAGCATTTCAAATAATTCAGAGGGCCTTCATATTAATTCACCATACAGTATATGAAGATGGAAAAATCCAAGTTTCCAATATTCCCCATCAAGCTGTGAAAATACCGTACTGAAAGCCTTGGTCTTGCCTAGTGTATGACAAATAGCTAATTCTTCCCGTCTCTCTGTCTCTCTCTGAGAGCATATATCTATGCAAATTGACTTGAGAAGAGGATGGCTGGGCTGCTTATGTCATGTGAACTGTAAAATGTGGCTTGTGCAGCCATTTATGTAAATGGCAGCACTCCATTTGCTGCTAAGGCTTGGGTGATACCCACTTTTCTCCTCAAGCCATTTTAGATTCAGAAAGTAATTTAATCACATATCTGTCAGCAGAGTTCACTGACTGTACTGCATTTTAGACTAAAAGCATCTCCATCAAAGTACCTTGCTGCTGATTGGGAGCACTATGCATAGACTAACCTTATAGCAACAGTATAATAGGGTCTTAAAACCAGGACTACAAATAAGGTATTAGATGGGCAGCCAATGAAGGATTTCTGGGCATCTGCTTGCTGAAATTCACATTGTATATTCACCTGAAAGTTCCCAGGTCCTTTTTCTGAAGAATGTTTGCTGTACAACAGTGAATAATTTTACAGTGACTATTAATGAGTTCCAGAAAGTTCTGAGGAGTTCAAAAGATTGAGAACTAGTTTTCTGCAAATGACATTTCTCGAGAAAGAAGGGACAGACATATTTCTAGCTACATATCTGTGAAGTCAAACGTTCTCTTGAAAATTCCAATTACTCCTGTAAACCCCTGTCATTACACCCTAAATCCCAGCTTATTGTTATTGTAGGCTGCATTAAATTTTTTGGCATAACTACAAAGTAGGAAAAAAAAACAATATTGTTATTGAGAAAGCTTATCTTTTTCTTCTTCCTTTGAGTCCATCCTGAATCAGGCTACTAAGAAAGTTGGGGTTTTCTTTACATTGTATATTATGTAATACTCTTCATGAAGTGTGTGTGTCTGTGTGTGTGTATGTGTATGTGTGTATTCCTTTATATGCTGACAAATTTCTTGGGTTTAATTCCATTGCTAAAAGATTATTACAGGCAGATAGAACATCCAGATCCTTTAGATTAATAAAGATGTTTATGTCATGGTTCCAAGTAACGAACCCAATCGAATCAGGACTCTGAGGCTTCAAGCAAGCTCAAAAGACCTTTTATTGAGTATCAGCACATAGAAGCTAGCTCTAAGTAATTCCCATGCTTTAGGGTAGTTAAAAGAACAGAAACTCCCCCAACCTCAGGTGTCCCAGATCACATTAATCAATCAGCCTGGTAGCCACTTTTCTCTTGATCTCAGCAGATGTTCATTGCCATGACCTTGGTTCTGAAGCTGAGTCTGCTCCATGTTTTTTCTAGCGGGGTTAAGGCACCACATTCCAATACCTTCTGACTTCCCCTTTTCCCCAAGAGTGGCATGGCTGAAATCATTTCAAAAGTTGAATATATATATGATTATTTAGAGATATAAATTATATAGAGATATAGATAGATGATAGATAGATAGATAGATAGATAGATAGATAGATAGATAGATAGATAGATAGATAGATAGATAGATGTCATATTCATCATCATTTTAGTCATTATCTATCTGCTAAATGCAGGACTGCATGATGAAGGCCTCTTCCACATGTTTCCAACCAATACAGTCCTGAGCTTTCTTTTGCCAATTGGACCCGATAGATAGATAGAGAGATAGATAGATAGATAGATAGATAGATAGATAGATAGATAGATAGATAGATAGATAGATAGAGATAGATAGATAGATAGATAGATATAATCAAGACCATATTGGTTGGAAACATGTAGAAGAAGCCTTCATCCTGCAGTGGATAGACAATGACTAGAAAAATAATAATGATGATAGATGTAGATGTAGCTATAGATATATGAATTAATCTAAAGCAGGGGTGTCAAACTCTATTTCATTGAGGGACATATCAGAGTTGTGTTTGATGTCAGGGGCCAGTGTGGGCCAGAGTGGATGTAGCTAGCTCATTGTCACTCATGTTGGTGGTGCCTGTGGCAGCTCAAGAGCTCTGCCAGTGAAAATGGGCTCCCCAGCTCAATTTTTAGCTGCCACAGCCTCTTGCAATAGTCTGTGAAAATGGAGCTTGGGGGTCCACATGCGACTCTCCCGAGCTCCATTTTTCTGGCAGAAGCACTTCAGAGCACTCCTTCTCTGTTTCTAGGGTGGCCCCATGGGCCAGTTCTAACTACCCCATGGGCTGGATTTGGCCCCCGGGCTGTGACTTTGACACCCCTGATCTAAAGGATCTGGATTCTCTGTCTACCTGTAATCATCCTTTAGCTTTGGAGTTAAAGCAGGAAAATTCTCAGCAATTAAAGGAACATAATAAATTCCCAGAAAGATGTACATAAGATAATGGCTATGCTGTCAGTGGACAGAAAATTTCATCAATGAAAAATAAGGCATTTAATTACTGACAAAAGGCTCATTTACAACAGACATGCCAGTTTAAATTGGAGAGCTGCTATAGTTTTGGGAAATAGGGCCATAGAAGATAATATATTATATGTAATTCAGGATTGAACTATGGAATCCTTGGTGCCCTCTGAGCTTGATTGTTTGTTTGCAGATGTTTCATTACCTGTCCAAGTAACATCCTTAGTGCTACTGTGTGTGGGGTTTATATCCAGTAGTTTGCCCTACCAGTTTTGGTAGGCAAGTAGTGTTATTTTTTCTATTACTTGTTTGAGTACATTGCTTCTTAAATCTTTTATTTATTTTCTTGCTAACAAATCTTATATAATAATGTTTGTTCATCAGCAGCCAGAATGTTGGAGAATTCCTTTGGACTCAAATGTGCTTCCTTGTGGCTTTGTTCCAGCAGATAATATATAATGAAATTCCTCAGAATCAGTCCTAAGCTGGAGCTTTAATGCATCACAATTTATTGTCAAGCTTTTAAAGACCTGAGTAGTCCAGCCTGACCTCAGAATTACAAAATGTTTACAGGGGGAAAAAGACTTCTTTAGAATCAAAAGATGTAAGTGGAAGATTAATCTTTTAAATATAACAAATGAGAGATGGAACGACGCAGAATTATTTTATTGCCATTTTTTATCATTGGCCTGAACAATCATAAGAAAACAGTATTTATTCCAATCTTTATTCCCCTAAGATGGTTTAGGCTCCAAACGGTCCATTCTCATGTGAGATGTTTCCCTCCCATTTGCTGCTCCTAGGCCATGGAATGAGCCAAATATTATAAATGTTTCAAATGAATTGAATCATTAAACTGTGGATTGCATTCAAGATGAATGCCTCAGTGTACTCAGAAACTGTCAATTGCAAGGCTGTAAAACTACTGGAGATGTAGGAAGATTTTTGGACGCGAGCAGCGATAGGTACATTCAGAATTCCATACTGTTCCTGAAGGCTAAACAATTCTTAACATACCGGAAGGCAGTAGAGCATTACTTACCATATCATGATCTGAAACAGGACCAAAGCTGGTAACAAAGATGTCAGTCTTCACTGCAGTTACACGCTCTGATGAAGCAGGAAATTGGGACAGTGAATGCCTATCATTAACTTTCTTTAAATTCAAGCAACATATTCTCTTGTTCCAGCAGAAAACACATTTATTTTTATTAAAGATACTAAAAGGAGGTGATAACTCTGTATTAGATGCTTTACATGTGCAATCTCTGAACTGTTCACCTAGACTTATGAAAAGACTTGTAAAAACCCTGCCTCTGGAGAGCTGTTACTATGCAACTGCACAGGTACATCACGCAGAACCAGAGAGACCAATAGTCTGATGCATCTGTAGATGCCCATAGTTCATCCACATCAATATTTAATCAGTTAAGCTTAAATCCATGAAATCATCAGCAAACTACGTGATCTTCTGCATACTACACACATTTCTTCTCAGAAGAAATTCCATTTCAAAAGAACCTTAGAAGGAACCTTCAAAGCTTTGGACAGGTACACATGATCATAATTAAGCCCAAAATTTCCATTGCTAAGTGATGCAGTTGTTAAGGAGTTGCACTTAATTTTATGACCTCATTTACCACAGTTGTTAAACACTGTGAATCACATGGTCGTTAAATGAATCTGGCTTCCCCCATTGATTGTGATTTTTCAGAAATGGGATGGAAAGGTTGCAAATGGTGATCATGGGATCCCAGAATAGCACTACCATCATAAATGTATGCCAGTTGCCATGCACCTGAATTTTGATCAAGTAACCATGGGGATGATGCAACAGTCATAAGTGTGAAAAACAATCATAAATCTTCACTGCTCTTGTAATTTCAAATATTCCTTAGATGAATAGTTCTAAGCCAAGGATTACATGTATAGTCCTCTAAATTTACAACTCAATTTGATGATTCAGAGGACTATCCTACAAATAAAGGTCAGTGGTATGTATACAATCCTTTCCCCATAACCCTCTTGGAAGAGAAAAAAAATAAGCAGACATATCATAGTTACAATCTGGTTAGGAAGGCCATAATAATGGACCAATAATTCAATATGCTATTATATAAACTGAAAACTCGAGATAGTATAGACTTCAATATCCATTTTATCCATATGTCTAAACATTAAAGAAAGATGCCAATATATCATTGCCAACCATGACTGTAATATATTGTTTCTGTTTTGCTTTATTGCTCCCAGGACCAACAGCCGTAAGAAAGATGCTGAAAAAGCACTGTGATGGTAGAATCTCTTAATTAGCCATCCAATAAAATTGGCATGGTCTAATCAAATCTCCCTATGAGGATATTAGAGAACGGAAGGGGTTTCTTAAAATTCAATTAGGTTGTGATGTAATTCTAAAGACTGTCACAATGAGATCTAACCTGTTATTGCTAGTCTAAGGTGATTCCCCCCAAAATATATTCATCTTGAAAAAAAATGAATCTTTTCTGAGCCTAGCAATCAGTACCAGAACTTAGAGTTCTGCATGATTTCGATGCGAGCTGGTTAGACTTTAAACTGAGCCAGCAATGGGTACTTTCCATTTCAGATAGGGTGAATTGAAGCAGAGAAACAGAAGGGAGAGAGTTTTTAATGCTTCATTTGACTCGCACTGTCTGTCTCAAATTATTCTCCATTTACAATGCTTTTTACTGAAAAAAAATTTTTTTTAATAAAACTAACCAAAGGGAAAAAAAACCCTGGGCTTTCTGAATTTAGCTAAAAAGATACAGGGATAACCACAGTCTTCAAATGGAACACCAAACAGTGGTTATTTCTAGTGTGTTGTTATTCAAGTTATAAAAGAAAAATTCTTAAGTCCAGTGAAAAACACTTATGACTATGGTCTATTCTGAAAATAATGAAAGCCTAGGAAAAGAAAAGTGTTTGATAATTTGCTATGGTTTTTTAAAACTCTTTTGAAGGTGTTGGAAATGTTCCCAATTATTTCAAAATAGAGCTGGATCTCATCCCAAGTCAAGGGGAGATGGGAATGTAACAGGGAATCAATCTTCTAGGATCTTTGAATGAAAATAGCTGTAAGCTAACTGTAATGGTTGAAAAGGGTGTTATAAAAAATTAACTGTTGCTACTGATTTATCCTCCCTGTCTTTTCCCATTCTTACTGAAGCTGAAATCTGACTATACCCACTACTCATGTTTTTGCATTCGAAATCCCTATCTAATCACCCCTATCCCACCATGATGTTGAAAATAATGTTTTTAATGTTTTAATTATTTCTCTTTTGTGCTGGATTCAACACTAGAGCCTTTCTGCCACTGAAGAAATGCTATGGCTTGGAGAACTGGAAGCAGCAGCCAGTGGTTCAATGCCATATTTCAATTTTTTTTTGGTAACCTTCCAATAATGTAGATTAAAATGAAACGGGTATTATAGAGTTGGAACTGGCCATCTTATAACCAGAGCATCCATAAATTTCTTCAGTTAGAGGTTCCATTGGATAGAACAATACTCACTTCCTGGAAACTACACATGTATCATCAACTTAAGCTTCTCTTTTGATGAGGGTGATATGGTTTTCTGCAATTCCAGAAAACCTCATTTTCTAAAAGGATTTCCTTCTTTTAACCAACTCCAAATCCTTTCCTTAAAAACTTATTTTCTTAATCCAACTGTTCTTCTTTTTCAGTTTCTGATTTCTTTTTTCCTTCTTTTTTTAAAATATATTTCATTAGTTATATAAGGCAGTTTGTTTTCAAACAAATATTTTTTAAAAAATAAAAATGAGCAATGCACTACTCAAAAAAGGAAAAAAAAATACAATAACACTAATAAATTATTCCCAAAGGCAAAAAAAATCCTGTAATTAAAATATATCCCAAGTGCCCCCAATTTACAAATCTTCAAAAAATGAAACAGCTTTCAAGATTTCACCCAGCCTGTCCAATGATTTTTTTTCTAAATGGAAAGATAATGTGACATTTTCCGATTGTCAGCAAATATAATTTTCTCAAAAATTGCTGGGTCGCAAATCTCTAAAATCAAATCCTTTATATCTGGAGCTATGCTATTTTTCCATCTCCTAACAATTATTATTTTTGCTATTCTTAAAGCATGAATAATCTTTGTGCAGAATATGTTAACTTCCATGAAGAAGGTATATAATTTAATGCAATACACCTTACTTTAAAAATCAAAGTTTTTCCAATAGTTTTGATTACCTATTATATAACATTATGCAAAAAGGATATGTAGAAGAACATTAGAACTGTCTAATTCCTGATTTATACTCTTGGGGGCTAAAATGTCATAACAGCGAAGTTAAGGGCAGGGAGGTTTTGTTTATGGTTTGTTTGTTAAGGCACACATTGCCCACTGGTTTTATCTGCATTGGTTCCTTCTCTTTCTTCTCTTACACATCCAGTATGAGTAAAACCAACTCTTTTCCTCTTGTTCTTCTTTGTTCCCACTTCCTTTCCTTTCTGAATGCAGAGTTTATATTCCCTGGGATCAATCAACTGGTATAGCTTTTAACTTATGCTGGAAAAAGATATTTGTGGCATTTCAATCTAACTGCAATTGTAGCTCCGTTGATTTCAGCCATAATGTACAACAAACCTTGTTCTTACTATTTTTAACACTGCAACAAATTATTTTTGAAAAAGCCTAATTTCTTGCTTTAGGTGTACAAGAGAGTGCACATGAGATTTTTTTAGATTTTTTTTAGATTTTATTGTCATTTATAGGCCGCCCTTTTCCCTGAGGGGACTCAGGGCGGCTTACAATTCGTGGGGAAGGAGTGCAAGACAAAACATGAAATAATATGTGAATAAAATAAAACAATAAAACACAACATTCATTCAGCATTCGGGTGGGGCAGATGAAAATCTTATCCCCAGGCCTGACGGGATAGCCAGATCTTAAGGGCTGCGCGGAAGGTCTGGACGGTGGTGAGGGTACGAATATCTACGGGGAGATCGTTCCAAAGGGTCGGAGCTGCTACTGAGAAGGCTCTCCTCCGCGTAGTCGCCAGTCGGCACTGACTGGTGGATGGAACTCGGAGGAGGCCCAATCTGTGCAATCTGATGGGTCGAAGGGAGGTAATCGGCAGAAGGCGGTCTCTCAAGTAATCAGACCCACTACCATGGAGGGCTTTATGGATGGTGAGTAGCACCTTGAAGCGCACCCAGAGATCAACAGGTAGCCAGCGCAGCTCGCGGAGGATAGGTGTTATGTGGGCGAACAGAGGTGCGCCCACTATCACTCGCGCGGCCGCATTCTGGACTAGCTGAAGTTGCCGGATGCTCTTCAAGGGCAGCCCCATGTAGAGCACATTGCAGTCCCAACACGTGCAGGTTAATTGCACTTAGATGATGGAAGAATGGGTGGTGTTTCCATAAACAAATGCTTTCTCCCACTTCAGTAGAACTGCTTGCTATTTTGCAATTCTGAGATCTTCTAGACCAGCCTACACTAGCCAATAATATTTCACTATTTTTCTTACCGATTGCTGCTTCACATACCCAAGGCAACTGAAAGAGGACGCGTATGCATAGCACAACCCATTGACAGATCCTGTCATCCTCCAGAAACCAAATTATGGGGTTCTCTTTGCTCCTGCTCAATGGAGTCATGAACGGGGAATGCCAGCATTGTGTCCAAATGATTATGCCATTTTGAAAAATCAAGCAACAAACAACTTTTTGAAAGAGAAGATTAAAAAGTTATTATAGCATATTGGTAAGATTCAGGTTCAAGTCCCCACTCAACCCCAGAGAATACTTGGGTCAGCTTGGGCCAAATAATAGGCTATTTCTTTCAGCCTAAACTCATTCAAATGTGTGAAGAAGAATAGCAGGATATTAATTTTCTGTAAATATTCAAAGTTGGAATTGTTACCAATAGGTAAAATCCCTCCGTTAATTCATAAATCAATTATAAGTTCCTTATCTGCAATGAATATATTAACTATCTTGAGGTTTTTATTTCACAGATAATTAATTTAAATGTGAACAAAATATATTAGGAAACCTCTTTGCATCTTGATAGATGTATTTAAATAGTAGTCTTTAAATTTTACCCTTTAAGCAAG